AGGAATGCCAAAGGTCAGCAAGGGAGACTCTGTTGTAGTAATGAGTTCTCCAAGGTAAAAGAGAGGCAGTCTGTGAAAAAGCAAATAGCTGAAAATTAGAAAACAAAGGGTAGAGACGGAGTGGAGGGGAGGAAGGTTTGCTTTTTATCAGTCCTGTCATTGGTTCCAAGTGTTACAAATATAAACTGACTTCATTCTCCATTTTCCTTCATCAGTGGTCCTCTACATATTGACAGTCCTTCTGTATAATATTGCCTCTCATTTCTAATTTGACCAGTTTGTAACCTTAGAGACTAACTAGTTCAGTAAGGCATAAGCTTTTGTAGGTGACAGACTACTTTGTCAAATTAGTAGCATCTAATGAAGGAGACTGTTGCCTATGAAAACATATGCCATTCTGAACAAACTGGGCAGAAGGCAAGGCAGGACAGCACCCTGGAGACGGACCAGGTAACTAGGTCCCTCTGTTCCTAACCCTTTTGTAAGACCTTGAAACTATGTAGTAGTGCCACCTGGTGACTCCCACTAATATTGCACAGAACTCTTGTAGCAGTTCACTGGCTTACTGGGCAAAACTCTGACACTGTTTCTGGTAAGCAAGAAGCAGAATTTAAAACTAAATTGTGTGTTTATTGATATACTGTCATATACTGTTTTAATGGGGGAGGGGAATACATGTTTTTGCAAAGGAAATTTGGCACTTCTGGGAGAAGGCCTAATGAATGATAGAATTATTGCTAAATTATTATATATGCCTTATGGAATATACTGAAGCCCCAAATCCTTAAAGCTGCGCTGAAAGTTAGTAACCTTCAGTCCTCCAAAATGCTGAGTGCACTAGTGTCTGTCCAGAAAAGCAAATGTGTATCCTTTGCTAACTTTGTTGGATTGGAAGTGCAATGTAGAATTGAGCCCTTAGAGAACAATTGATCGTAGGGAATTAAATATTGGAACTTGTGAAACAAAATAATGGGATTCTATGAAGTATGAAAAGGGTAATTGCCAAAAGTCTGACTGTAGAAAGTCAGTGGCCTATTTCTGGAAATAGCAACAAAGGGTAGACAAGTTCAACTTTTTTCTACTAATATCCAGTTTTCAAATCTCCCTAGTTCATATTGTTTGGCTATATATGGAAAGCTTTGTAACCATACAGAATTAAAAATTTGGACTAGATATAATTCTTTTCCATCTCCAGCACATCCATTGATGCTGTGGTACATGCAATGACACTAGTACAGCACAAAGCTTGGTACATTATTCAGAGCAACTGCTAACTTTTGATATTGCGACCTGGGAAAGATGGAGAAATGGCAAGCCTTTCATGCCTTTTACTGCCAAGTATTGCTGTTATTCTGTAATATTCTAATGTGGGCAGATTTCAATGAAGCAAAATTAAAACAAAACAAATAAAAACAGCTAATATTTAAAGTCATTGATGGAACTGGATTTTGTGCAGTAGAAGCAGGTGTGCAGTTCTTAATAATTGGCACTGATAGCAAGAATGGATTCTTAACACAAATAAAAAACTTAGTTCCCAAGCATTATTTAAAAAATTGGGAAATAGAGGCAATTTATTTTCCTATGTGAAGAAACATGGAATAAAGCATAGTTAAGAAGGCTAGAAAAAGAACATTCTGTGAAGTTAGAACTGACAATGAGTTTTTGACTGACTGCCCAGATCTGTGACTCTGTCTTCTATGTTGCTTAGCAACTCCATGTTATCACAAAGAAACTGATATTAAACTGGAACAGGCTGGATATGGTAATTTACGTGGGAAGATACTGGTTTCTCTTGCAGTGGGAAAACTATTTTATTTCTAGTCTCTGTCAGCATCGAGTCTGTTTCACATGACAAACTGTAGTGCATCCATTCGTGTACATTTTACCTAAAAAGGTAAAGAGCGACTCCGGTTTGGGAAGTGACTGTAAAAATGATACCTTGTTGTTCACTAGATTTGATCCTTATATGTACTTGGACATGTCTACCCACGTTGATGATCTTTTACACTATGTTGAAACTAGTTCAGATTAGAGAGATTAGAAAAATTGATTATTACTGAAACCTTCTTAGTCCTTTGTTTTGCTAGGTGCTGTGCAAGCACAGAGCAGAAAGATCATACGCTGCAAGTTGTTCCAGTTTTTTTTTCTTATACATCCAGTCTTGCTTTTGTTTTACCCATTGAATACAATGGACTTACACATCTATTACTCAAGGCATGGCTATAGTGGAATGCCAGGGTGTCCCTGCTGGGTTGCTCCCAAACAGACCCTACCCATCCACTGCTGCTCGTGTGCTTGAGATGGAGAAAATATACATGAGGCAGCTCCGGGTCATCCCAGTGGATGCACTTAAGCTTGGTGGAGTCTCTGCAGGTGTTGTCAAGACCAAAGACATCCCCTGGAATGACTTTACCAATATATTTCTGTATCTGGGTATGCACTTAGGAGTGGATGGTTGAGACTTGGCCTGGTCAGGACCCATTGCTGCTATGGTATAGACATAACTACACTGCCTAATTTGAATACCTTGAGACTAAATAGAAATAGCCCAAGTGACAATCTGCCAGCTTCTGTATGACTGGTGAAGAGACCACCTGCTTTCAGATCCATTGAGGAGTGGAAAAATCTGGCAGCTGAGGAGAGGAAGGGGAATAACTGAGCAAATTTGATCTTAACACAAGAGACATGGAATATAATCATTTTAAGGGGTGGAAGGTAAAGGAGTGGACAAGAACCTTAGCTTTTAACAATAAAAGCTGTTTCTGAGGATTCTGGTTCGTTCAGGAATTCTTTTTTTTCCTCTTAGTAAACATTTGTAATTTTTTTAGCAAAAAGATTAGCTCAGCAGACTGTTCAGACTACAGGCTGAAATGACCTGACCCAGCTCAGCTCATAGAAAGGCAGGTGCTAGGACCTATCCATCTGCACCACCACCATGCTGCACTTTTACCAGATGCCACTGAAGCCCAACATCTGTGGGCTGGATCCACTGGCTCCATGGGCTGAATCTGGTCTGTGGGCTGTAGGTTTGCTGGCCTCTGCCCTAGCTGTATTTCTGCTAGCCAGCTTTTAAGTTAGAAAAATCCAAGGAAGTACTTGTTCTATTACAGGAGTAGTCCAACTACTTGCTGGCCTTATCTCGCCTGCAGAGTTAATTGAGACATTACCCAAGTTTTGTATTTGACTCAGCATGTTGTCAGTTGTTCATATTATTAGATGTCCATGCTACTGATGCAACTAGCCTTACAAATGTTATTTCTGGCCCTGCTGAGGGAATTTATCTGCTTAAATGCCTCTCCCACTTCCTGCCTCCTAGAAAGGAACTGCCAATCTGAGCTATACAGGAAGAGGCAGAAATCCCTTTTCCCTGCCCTTCAGATGGCCCACAGTAGTAGTTCCCAGACTAGAGGTTGACTCCAAATTGAATCCTAAGCCTAGAGAAATTTCATTATAGTGGTTTGGCTTGACATGGTGGTCATGGCATAGAAATATTGGGAACCACTGCTTTTGAAGGCTCTGGGTGAGGAGGATAAGAAAGAATGACATCATTCTTTCAGGAAGAAGAGGGCGTAGAAAAGTCCAGCAGCTCAGGGCAGCTCTGCTGTCCCCCAGCAAACCAAATAGGGCAGCTCCTCTCTGTTCTTGCCCCTTTCCACACCCCACAATCCTCCAATACTATGGGTCTGGTGTAGGCTATGCAGGGGGGAAATGAAGAACCCTTGGCATTGAAAGAAAAGTAGAAGTTAACTGAAGGGCCAGAAGTGGATGGAGGGCTGGGGTTTGTAATTAATAAGCTAGAAGACTAGATGTATGTGGGACTTGTGGGGCTAAGGACTTATTAGAGTTAGGAGGTTGGGAAGAAAATTAGGGATGTGTTCACATTCTGGGAGCCAGTGAGATGAGCAGTTCGGTCCAGTTTCACCTTCCCAAATGTATTGAATAGGGTGGGTGACACTTTAAGTGGAACCACGTACAGAGGATTGGTGAAGGGGAATTCAACAAGCAAAAGATTAAATATGCATGACAGAATTTAGCTCAGTATTTGGATGTTTTTTTTTCTGGGGGCAGATGGCAGTTCTGAAATCACTTACCTACACATAACAGATGGTAGCTGCCTTGTTCTTGGATATATATTGTAGCACTATCTCACACTCCACCCCTTTAAACAATCTTTTGATTTCTTTTTATAGTACATCAAGAGTTTGATCATTTGTGCTGTAAGGTTCTCAAAATAAACAGACAAACCTGCATTAGAATATAGTAGGCATGTCTACACATTCATTAATGCGCTATAATTGATGCTACTGCGCATTAGTACCGGTGGATGCTTTTTTGTGATGGTGATGTGCAATAGATCAATTTTACTGCACATTGGCATAGAAAACCCATGCCATGCTACTGCACAATAGAAATAGTCTACTGCACCTTTAGTGAAGATGCATCCAGTGGTTCTTTGTATTCACTTTTTGAATTCCAAGTTGTAATAGCATTCAGCAGCAAATTTTAAAATCTATTTTCTTGTTTGGTACAACTTTGGGTTTTCAGTTTAAGCTTTTAATGCGAGAAGTCACTTACCTTGTGAAGCTGGAATTAATCTGCTAAAGTGAAATCTCTTCGTTTGTGAGGAAGATTAATTTCTTCTTTTTATTGCAGAGTACAGACAACTCAAACATATCTATAATCGCTGAGAACAGGAAGTGCTTTGACAATGACATTGTTTGCTCAAAAAGCATTTTGATCTCTGTTGGAGACATGGAGATTTATTTTAGTGAAACTTCTGACAAGCAGGTTAGTTAGTTATTTTCTTTGCTTGTCAGATTAACCTTTAAAATATACATTCTAAATATATGTCTGGGGAGATTTTTTTAATATAAAGTACCAAAAATGTCAAAGTTCTTTATATATCTTGGATGTCTATGAAAATTCCTATTTCTTCACTGCTTTTTCAAGCCCTTCCACTCCAGCACCTCTGTTACTCCCAAAGGGAAGACTGTTTAGAGCTGTTCTCTGATAAAGGTTTTGCTACCTTGTTTCTATCATTTTTTTTAAAGGAGGGGGGAAATGAGCCAAAATTATTGAATGTAGAATAAGAATCCTTAAAAACAAAACAGCTGAAGCTGCTCCTCAGTTCCCAAGTAACGTGTCAAGATAAATGCATTTATAAAAATATACCTGGAGCTAATTAGTGGGTGGCTGTGGCTTGATCTTATTTGTGTTAGAGAAATGTTGTTTTAGATATTTCACGAACATCCATTTCTATTAGAAGAAATCAAAGGGACAGGAAAACAGATCTACGTATCAGCTCTGGAAGGCTGGATATTATACAGTAATACACTTCCCTGAGCAAGAAATCACAATCCTATGGGATAAGAAGACAACTATACATGTCAAAGTTGGACCTCGATGGAAGGTAAAGCAAGAGAGAGACTGTATGACGCTGTATATATTGTATTTTAACTTAAAGAGGTTCATACGATCTGAGATGAGAATATGGGGAGATCCATGGGATTTAGTATGTTAACAGTTGATCGTTGGGGTTTTTGAGTAAAATGCTGTTCACAAATTGTGAGGTGCATGTAAATCTGTTTGTTGGCTAGGAGTGCCTGTGAATTGAGTAGGGATGAAGTGGTGGTGTAGCTGTTTTTTAGTGTATGATAATACAGTGATCACAAAGCAAAGATAAACATTTCCAAGTCAATGTCCAAATTTTGTAGCCTGCTGATTGCCTCAGTTGTAGTATTGTGCACATCCAATAGAGTTCCACGTAAATGTATTTGACCTGGGGGGATGTGGACAGTGGGCTTCTGCAGGGCTCGGTCCTCGGGCCCGCACTGTTCAACATCTTCATCAGCGACTTGGACAAGGGGGTAAAAAGCACCCTGTTCAAATTTGCTGATGACACTAATATGTGGGGAGAAGTGGGCACACCAGAAGGGAGGAATAGGCTGCAATTGGACCTAGGCAGGTTACAGGGGTGGGCGGACAAGAATAGGATGGGTTTCAACACTGACAAGTGCAAGGTGATGCACCTGGGGAGGAAGAACCAGCAGCATACCTACAGGTTGGGGAACTCCCTTCTCATCAGTGCAGAGGCAGAAAAGGATCTTGGAGTCGTCATTGATGCCAAAATGAATATGGGCCGACAGTGTGGGGATGCAGTCAGGAAGGCCACCTGTACCTTGTCATGCATC